TTACCAATTGAAGCATTATAATAGAATGACTATGCTGTGATCATAAAGGGATGGACATGGTCAGCAATAATACTCAGGTAGGCTGTTGGGTTGACACAATGTTCAAGTGGTAATAAGGGGCCAAAAGTTTACCAAGAAAATATCCTCCACAGCATTATACCACCACCACCAGCATGATCTGTTGATACACTAGAAAAACAATCTGAAAATAAGTAAAAAATTCTTAAATTAAGTGTTTTTACCTTTAATTAAGTAGGTAAATGAGACAAATGCATTGTCGTATTTCAAGTGTATATTATCCAATTATCTTATTTTAAGAGTAAAAAAACTCATTCCATTGGCAAACTATGTAATTTACCTGCTCAAATTAAGGGTAAATACACTTAATTTGAGACATTTTCACTTATTTCTAGATTGTTTTTCCAGTGTGCAGTGAGGGTTGAGCTTTTCGACTTGAACCTTTCTCTTATTTCTCATTTCACCCACATACACACATCGCCAAAATTCTTGGTACCGCTTGTTTAATGAAAAAAAACACAAAAAAAAAAAACACAATGGTCACAGAAATAACTTTAAACTGGTAAAAATAATAAAAACAAAAAATAACAAATGAGAGTCAGACATTGCTTTTCAGCCATGCTTCAGCAGAGTCGACTTAGATCGCCTTCGGCTCAAACTGTGATGAATGATGAGATCTGACACTAATGTTCTTTGAGGTTGAAGTTCACCTCTAATCTCTTTAGAAGTTTTTCTGGACTCTTTTGTTACCATTCATATTATGCGTCTCTTTGATATGTCATCATTTTTCCTCCTGTACAACCAGAGCTCTGTCTTTTTTAGGGGGAAAGAAAGGGCCCAAAGCAACACTGCAAAAAATGGAAATCTAAATAAGTCATTTTTTCTTAAACTAAGCGTATTTGTTTTTTAATTGAGGAAGTAAGTGAGACACTTTGCCAATGGAACAAGACAATTTACATTTAAAATAAGAAAAAGCAACTGCATTGTCTTATAACAAGTGCATATTATCTAATTATCTTATTTTAAGAGTAAAAATACTCATTCCATTGGCAAATAATCCCATTTACCTACTAAAATTAAGGGTACATACACTTGATTTAAGAAATTTTAACTTATTTCTAGATCATTTTTGCAGTGAAAGGACCACTAATTGTGATAGTTAAAAGGAAAAAAGAAATCTCCGGTTATTCTACATAAAACTTAGAAAGCAAAATTCATCATTATAGTTTGCTTATATTGAATTCAAGCAGTTAATCCAAGAGAGCCACAAATACTGAGATATTAACCAAAATATGAACGCCACACAAGGGTTAAGAACATTTAGGCGAATCACACCTGAGGGGTTTATAGTTACTGTTAGTAAAAGTTATAAAGTAAGAGAAAAGTGTCACAGAACATATAAAAAGCTCTGAACGTTTTAAGTTTTTACCTAATTTTATCGCCTTTTAAGAAAATTATTAGCTGAATGGAACATTCCCATTTAAAGGTTAGCATTGTTAGCCTCAATGCACCGACTGCTTTATGAAAGGCCTTTTTATTTAATGAATATCATCCATAATTTTGTACATTTGAGGTGAGATTTGAAAAAAGGGCACAGTAGAGACAAGGCTGTTTTTTCTCCATTTATTTCCTGTTATATAAAATCCATAATTGGCACCAATTAAAGCAGGTGGATCCTCAAGTCTTGATGCTGTTGCATAAATCACCTACTGATAGTTTGGCTTTTTGTCATCTCTTGGTTAAACGGCTGTTTTTGGGTAAGTTAAAGTTGTTCTCTATACTTTAGAAACAGCAGCTGGCCTTGGAAGTTTTACATCAATTACACATCAAGCTTTGCATTGATTATAAATGAGGCAGAGACTCAGAAGCAGCTACTGAAGCAAAACAAAATTTATTTATAAACTGATTAATTCAATATTTTTCATTGTGGAACATCATAAACAGCCGATTCTGAATAATAAAAAAACAACACAGAGTTACAGCATTTCCCTTTAGTTTTACTTGCATTGTAACCCATTTTCTATATGTCTTATGGAAATATTACAAAATATAAATTTAATCTTAAAATAGGCACATACTGAAGGAAAGGTGCATACGCTGATTTAACTTAAAGCAAATGAGAGCAGAAATCACTGAGAAAATGTAATAAAATATAATTTGGCTGACATGGAAGGGTTGAAAACATGAAGCAAACTTAAAAATCCTAAAGCACAGAACGGTGAAAAACATAGTGGAAAAACAAAGATGACATTCATATTTAGACAGTTCTATCAAGACATAATAAGATGCCCTTTGATTTTTTTTTTTAAACTATGTTCATCATCAACAAAACGTCAAAAACAATTAAAATATTAATTTTTTCTTCAAAAATAAATCAACGGAAATAACTCTGTCAATGCTGCATATTTTTTCCCCCTTTAAAGAATAACATTCTGTATGGATCATAAGCTATTTTTCAGAAGGTACTTTGGGCGGAGTGAAGAATCTGGGAAGTTTTGAAAGTACTGTGTATGAATCTGAAAGATCTCGTTATTTGCTGTAATTTATTACTCAAATTTTAAACTTTCGCAATCTCCAAAAGTGGTTGTGATTATTAGTTATTGTGGCTTTTTGTAGTTCTTTAAAAGTTCCCTTAGGCTTTGGCTGCTATTTGCAAGTTTTCAGTCCAGTTTTGTACCAACCCATCATTTTTTTTACAATCACGTGCTTAAGAAATAAAAAGTAGACATGTGAGGGACAAAATTAATTGTGTCAGACAAAAAAAAAAAGAAAATAAAAATAAATTTAGTGAAGAAAACAAAACCTGAAAATCAGATCTTAAACATCTGACAATCGTTCTTTTATCCTTCAGTTCCTCAAATTTACACCAAGTATTCAGTCAATAGGTGTCAGAGAATCAAACAAAAACAACAAAATAAAACCAATTTCCCTCTAAAGAACTGTGTACTAATTAGTTTTTCATAGATTAAGGAGAAGAAATTGGACCAAACCCTGTTTTTTGACAATTTGATAATAAAAATGTCTGAAACAAACTATTGAATAAATATGCAGCAAAAAAACCAAAGAAACAAACTTTAGACCACAGGAAGAACTGCTGATAAAATTCTGCAATAGAAATTGGCCCACAGAAGGAAAAACATCAATGACGTAAAATGAATGACTGAAATCTTTTGCACAGTACTGTAGATATTTTTTCCAGAGTGTTGTTAGCCTGCATATTTTCAAAATACTTAAAATGATAAAACATATATTTGTAGCCATATTAATTGTGTGCTTTAGGTCAGCAAAATAACAGAAAAAAAAATGTATATGCGATAATATAGATGAATGTCAATGATAAGTGATAACTTCTGAAATAGCTAGGTCTAGGTTTACTTGAATATAGATTACAGGTAGTGAAAAGTCCTTTCAAATACTGGAGTCTTAAATATTTTTTGCTATATTTAAAAAAATAAGTGAAAAGAAAAAACTTTCAGCTAGAAGCCTGTCCTTGTGTGAGCTAATATTTACTGGATAGGGTGATAAATTAGTGATTAACTGTTCAGCTCTAACCTGCATTCATCTAAAGGGTGCATTGGGATATCCCCATTCACATCCCACTGCTGTTTTTTTTAACTTTTACACTAAAACCTAAAGTACATGATAGAGAAAAACAAAAAAAAGAAAGCAAAAACCCTGTGTGAGCTGCTGGACAGTCGGCTGACCCGTTTTGGGCCAGGAGGCAATAATCTAACAGCAGGAGTCGTGTGCAGACATGCAATGACGGAGAGAGGAGAGGCAGGGAAGCAGAAATGAGGCTTTGTTCACCAAACCCTCTTTGGCCTGGAGAGAGAGAGGCTGTAGTAAGAAACGACACAAAGTCCATCCTAATGATGAGCCGAGCGGAGAGGAGAACCCTGTGGGTGAATTCCACGCTGGGGGACATGCAGAGCTGCACTGTTTTAGTCCACACAGACAGAAACACACAGCTTTGATGAACGTCTAACAAAACCCACACCTCTTTCTAGATTTACACTTTTCAAAACAGGTCTTTCCCGTCTCAAAGCGCTTCATCAACAAACAGTGCAGCAGATTAAAAATAGCTCTTCAAAATACATTCTCAAAGTAATTTAGAAAAAATAAAAACCTTCATACAACACCCAGGGAACCAAACCAGAAAACTCAGTCTGGAGGACAAAAAAAAGGGACTTTCTCTGTTTAGTCATTTATCTAACAACATTTGGCTTCATTTTGTCTTTTTTTTGTAATTCCCTTTTAAACATCTAGAAAAACAAGATAACATTTTTGAAAAAAAAAAAAACCCTTCAATCATCTAGAACATTTTTCCCATAAGATTATTTTTCACAAGAACAAAGATCAGGAATAAATATTTTATCTCAGTTATTTTTTTTAGGATATTAGGAGCTCAAATCTCTGCTCTGGCTGTTCAATCAGAGAGTGAATTTAAATAATGAGCTAATGAGTTTGTAAATATGTGCTGAAAATGGCATTAACTAATGTTTAATGAAACCAGATTACTGCAAACTCTGGATCGCTTGTCATTTTTAAAGCTTTTGCACTGTATGTTTTTTATACCCCGCTCCTAATCGCATACCATTTCTTTCCTCCTGACATTCTTGTTGTTGAAATGTGTTAAAAAAACACATTCTGTAATTAACTAACACCATAGCAAAGTGATGACTTTAGCACAACTGACACCTTGCAGAAAATAAACCACCTGAAATCACATGGATTGTGTTATTTGGGTTTCCAAACTTTGAGAAAAGTAAAAGTAAAGTCTGACTGAGGAAAGCTTTCCAAATGTGTCCAGCTCTGTCTTTTTGGTCCAAGTGTCGAGCTTTGAGCTACTGAACGATCTGAGAGAGGATAACCTGTATCTTTATTTACATAAAAACGATGTCCATCTCTCTAAAGAATGTTTTTCTTTCTGGACCATATCAAACTCCTCTTCCAGAAAACCACTGAAAGCCATGATCTGAAAATAAATGAGTGGATTGAAGCTCAGTTTAGAAGCTTGAGTTCACAAAGGATTAGACAGTTGGCAAGGTTACTATTACTAAACCAAAGCATTTACTTTTAAAGCTGCAGAGAACAAAAGTTATTTTATAATTTGGTTAATCTGCTACCTGTAATTTCGCTTTTGCTAAGCATTAGTTTAAAAAGTAAACGGACTACATTTCCTGGCCTTAGTTGCACTGGTGCTGTAAAACCCTATTTGCATGCACAGCAACAGATGCATTATTAAATACCAACATGCTTCATATAATAGGACGTCAAGAATATGCTCAACACATTCTGCCAAACATCCTGCTATGAAAATTAAGACTTTGAGTCTGATAACATTTAAGTAAAGCAAATATTTCATCATCTCCTGCAGGTAGGGAAACTCTTTGATAGCACTGATATATTCTGAACGCATGAATGGTGCACATTAAAGCAGATAAAAAACAACCACCTTCATTTTTTAAGAGTTCCGGTTTGAGGTGAATAATTTATGGAGCGGCAGGGATAATAAAATCCCTTCAAACCTTTGGATTTTGATGACATTGTGCAACAACTGTGGGTGTAGCAAATAATCTGCTCTCTCCTTGATTAACACTAATAAGTATGCAACAAACTTCATATTGCACAAACAAATCAAATCAAATACAGATTTTAACCAAAGCTACCGTTCCCCTTTGGTGAATAATAAGTGCATTTTGTTATAAATCTGTTCAACTGATCATTCTTTTTTTAACTACACTAATACAAATAAATTTGGCTTAGGTTAAAGAATCAATCCAAGAGTAGAACTACTTTGTCACATCAACAGCAGCTCTGTAAATCAAAAGAAATATAATCTTCATTATAATCTCAGAATGGCTGGGAGCATTTATAACGTTTTTCTTCTTTGGCCCGTTTTAGTTCCCAGGAACAGCCAGGATGTACCCGGCTCGGCTCTTGGTGAAGTCCGGATGTGACTGGTTGATCTTTGGCTCGACCACGACCGTGCACTTTCGTCCATTCATGCTGCACTGGATTGGACTGGAAATGTTCACCTGCAGCTTCCTCTTCTCACTATGAAAACAACAGGAAATGGAGGCATGAATAATTATTAAGTATGGGAAGAAAAAGATGAAACGATGAAGCCAAAAACATTGAAAAATGAACATTTAGTCCAGGGGTCTGCAACCTTTCATATCCAAAGAGCTATTTTGCTTCAAGTACGACCAAGTCGAAGTTGTTTAGAGCCGCAAAATATAACAACACTTTACAAAAAAACAAAAAAACTATTTATTCTTTTTATTATATAAATGAAATTTTAAAATAATATCACCGTAATACACATAATTCCTACATTAATTCAAAGAAAAATTGCACTTAAAACAGATTTCTGGTTCTTTTATTATCATTCATTAATTCTGGTATTCATTATAGTACATTATTTAACTCTTTACATACATTTTAAGAGCCGCTGGAGATGATCCAAAGAACCACATTTGGCTCTGGAGCCGCAAGTTGCAGACCCCTGATTTAGTCAGTCATTTCCAGCCATCATGAAAGTTTTCCTTGTAAGTTTAAGAAGTTTACCAACCAATGATCAAAATAATACTTTTTTTTTTTACCTCATTCTGCCACCAAGCACAGCGAGAACCTAACAGCCATCATGACATTTATGCATCACCATGGTAACGCTCATAAAGCTGAAAACCAAAGAAAACTCATCCCTGATCAATCCCTGCAGAGGTGATGTCCCAAGGAACGGCACATAAATATGTTTTATTTAAACAGATCAAAAACATCAGCTGCTGTGATGATTTGATGAACTAACTATCAGAAGAGCTCACTTTGTCTTTAGACCACCCTAAAAAAATGTCTTAAAAAAAAGCCTAAACAAAAGTTCATCAAGAACGCTTAAAAGATATCAAAAAGTCTTATTTAATTAATTAACATATAAACTAGGGTTGTCACGATACTAAACTTTTCAATTCAATACCGATACTAAGGAAAATATTCGATACTCGATACCATTTTCGATAGCACAAGGATAAAAGCAAAGACTCCAAAATTCTACAGAAATATTTTCATTAATAAACAAAATCCAATAAATAAATACAATAAACAATAAGAACAATATTTTGAGCTTTTGTTCTTTGCACAATATTAAGCAAGCTTGATAAAAAAATTTAAATTAAGTGTTCCTTTCTTGGCTATGCTTTGCAGACATAACATTAAAAAAAAAATAATTCTCAGCAGCCCCAACTGTTACAAAAAATGCCTGAAACTGAAAAGTGCACAGAATTATTCAATCACACAGTGTTTAGAAAGTGCATTTTCCTCTATTCGGCACTTTAGATAAATGACTGTTTAGGTGCCACTGGTGGTGGCACTGTATCGATACTTTTGAAAATGAGTATTGTATCCGGATACAACGTTTCAGTATCTATATTTTTTTTTAGTATCAATACTTTTGACAATCCTAATATAAACTTCATTTCAGGAGCTCCGAAAACATTCCAGCAGTTACCTCAAAAAATAACAATACAGCAGAGAGGCGCCCCATAAAAATACTTCATGCTTTAATAATAATTCATACTTATACCTTGTTAAATTTTAATCTTATTTTCTTATATACACACACGCCTAGGTCCGTAAGTTAAATCAATGTCATATCACTTCATTATAAGTGTCACCATAGCAACATGCCAACCAGCCATTTCAGGTGAATATGAAGCATGGAGGCTAGGTATCCTGACAACGGTTGGTTAGCATAAAAATAAATCCAATGGAGGCCAACAAAAATGGTTTCTATATTTAAACATAATATTAATCAGAAAAGCAATCGGAGAACGCAGAGCTTCACCAAGCAGCAAATTATGTCCCATACTGCGATTTCCACCTATAGCTCAAACTCACACATGATCTGGATCATTGTCAGAATTTAAATAAATTGTACCTTGGTATGAGATCCACCTTTGGTAAAAGGTTCTTTAAAATAATTTCATAAATGTATAAATAAGGCACACAGCATGTGTCTGCAGCCTCTGGTGTCTGTTCTGCTCATGTCTTCATTCACTCTGCTTTATTGTTTGATCAGAAGATCAAGAATTTGAGTGAGGCATGGCTGACCTTTCCTGGGTTTTTGTTTTCAGTTTAATACCTCTGGACTTTTTTGAGTTTGATGCTGAAGCTGTCAATAGTCACTGCTGCCACCCTCTGGTTTAGGGTGGAACTGCTTATTCTGCTAAATAATGTTAAAGAATCCTTAAAAAAGATTCCCGCATTCGAATTATGATGTGGATCATCACCAAAATGCATTGAATTGTTCCTTAAACTGAGGTGCATCTTTGGAAAAAATTCATTAAAATTTGTTCATAACTTTTAAAGTTATGACGGACGGACAGACCAACAAACACAGAAATTCGACTAAAAACCTAACCTTCTTGGCAGAGATAATTAATCAAATATTTTACAAGTGGATTAAACAACGTGAAGCTGTACATTTCCCAGTTTTAATGTAGCCAGGAGCTCATTTTGCTCGTTGTGGTGTTTTATACTACGCATTATGCATGCGTAATGCATGTAATGCACACCTCCTCATTGTTTGAGCCATACACAGTGCAGTAATTATATTCATTAAAAAAAACTTTAAAAATTACATTTACTCAATTTAGGTTTTTAAATTTTTTTTTTTTTTTATTTAGTTCAACATTTAATGGCATAATAGTATATTTAATGTCTCACATTATTTATTTCATAATATATTTTGGCCCTGAAGATGCAGGAAAAGGTCCAGAGAGTTATTAGACAACCTTTATTTAGAGACGCACAGAAACGATACCTGGATCTGATATTGGTCCAATATCAACTACTTAGCTGGATTGGATATGGAGGTCCAATCCAGTGCCCTTTACATGGAAGAGTTATTTCTTTCTTTTTGCTTCTCTTTGCTTATTTGTAAATGAATAATATCAAGTTGTTACTTGGTTACCTTTTTTCTAACAATGTTTATGTCTAGGCTAAAGCCTTCACTCACACGGTGAGATATATGGCTCATTCATTCATTAAACAGTTAAACCGGATCAGTATTGGCCGATATTCTGAGCCCAGGTATCGGATTGGATCTATGCATCTCCATTTTTATTATTCATCCATCCAATTTCTGACACGCTTAATCCCAAGTGAGGGGTGCTGGTGCCTATTTGGATGGGGTCCACCCTGGACAGGTCGCCAGTCCATCGCAGGGCAACACAGAGACAAACAGGATAATCAACCATTCACACACTCACACCTAAGGAGGATTTAGAGAAACCAATTAACCTAACAGTCATGTTTTTGGACTTTGGGAGGAAGCCGGAGTATCCGGAGAGAACCAACGCATGATCAGGGAGAACATGCAAACTCCATGCAGAAAGATCCTGGGATTATCATCGTAAAATATTCTAGTAAAGCCTTGCAAATTACAGGAATATATGTGGGTGTATATTAGTGGCTATGATCAAAGGGAGCAGGATTGTGTAAGAGAATAACATCATTTATGAAGGATGACACCTGTGAACCCTTACTGTGTTTTTTGTTAACCCTCTGAGTGCATGTTTAGAGACTATGAACCTTCCGCCTCTAAGGGCTGAAAAACTGAATAAGTGTAGAAGTCATCCAGGGGAGATGTGAAAAGAACGACCTATCCTGTGTTTCTGGACCAGAGAGCAGCAGTGGCCGGGCTTTTAGTGGCTGTCAGAGCCAGTTAGACCTTCTCTAGGTGAACTGGGGCTTTGCCTCATTTGCTCTTAAACAGGATCGATGGAGAGACTCAGCCAGTGAGAATAAAATGTGTAGGAATTGTGGGGAAGCTGAGGCAGACAGAAATGCGAGATGCTGTTAATGTGATGGAGACTGAGAAGATGACTGTGATAATTGCTCTCTGATTTAGGAGGAGCGGGTGTAGGAAGTGATGTAAATATAAAGCTGCAGGGCATGGAGGGCTGAAAGCATGATAAATAAATATGCATCTGATTCCATTTGGTGAAGTATCCGTTTTGACACCATTTTCTGGTGACACAGTTAATAATTATGTAAAATTAATTTTGATTTTCATTCTGTCCCCATTTCATCTTAACTGAAAATATCAGTGGTGAACCTGCTGAATCTGACTTGTTGTATGAAGATAGCATTATAAACAAGGCTTTTCTGCCCACGCTGCACTCCTCTGCAGAGCATGTGCAGCTCGGCTTATCCAGGGTGGAAAGGCTCAGGGTAGCGCCGATGCTGGTTTCCATAGAAACCCCCTGTGAACCCAACTCCCCCATCTGTCATGGCTGCCAACCAGCCAACGGCACTGTTTGTGAGAGTGCTCTCTCTCTCTCTCTGCTCCTGTGTGCATCGCTCATCTCCGTCTCGTCTCACTGTGCTGCTGGAATGCCAGAGGGAACGATGTGCTGAGCGGAAGGTGTGGAAGGTGAAAAACACCGAAATGTTCCCGTCAAAATCACCTAACAAAACAGCTCACATCTCCGATCCAAAAATAAGCAAAGAAGCAGCACTAAACACTTCCTCTCTAAACAGAAGATATGGCAGCAGTTTAGTTTTAAGTTCAGCGACTGGCTCTTACTACCTAGAACCGGCTCCAGCCAGCCGGACCTCCCTCCCCCCTGAGGGCAGACTTGGTCCATCATTGGATGGCCTCTCTGACTGGAAAATCAATTCTTTCCTTTACTCCAACCCCCTGCCCCCTGAACGATCGCATGTGTCCGTCTTTGCCCTTCAAGCCATGCGAGTCCAAGATCACTTTTTCTCCCAAGGTAGTTCTCTTTGTGTGGACAGAAAGAAGCTAGAGAGAGAGAGTAGGTAAAAACGAAATTTGGCAAGAAAGAAAAATTAAAGGCTGAATGTCAGCTCATCCTTCATACCTCATTCTTGGTCAAACAACCAGTAGATTATTGGGTTTAATGCAAT